GACCAGCTAGTGGACATGTCCATCCGACTGGATACCCTGCTGGCCACCCGCGGACGTCCCGAGATGGGGCCGTCCATTCCATCCCCCAGCACCTCCGAGCCGAGCCCAATGGAGCTCGGGGGTGCTGGCGCTAGAGAAAGAAGGAGAGAGAACCCGAGGGGGGCCGTCCCCTGCACCAGCTGTGGCCATGGAGGACACACTGCGGCTAGGTGCTGGGGAGGGTCTCCAAGGAATCGAGGCAACAGGTCGCGCACTGGGGAGTCATTTCAGGTGAGTAGGCGCCCCACTCACCCAGAGCTCTCTGTTGTTCACTTGTGTATACCTGTGGTATTTCCTCAGGTTGCATCTCATTCCCAGCATAAGGCGCTAGTCGATTCAGGCGCAGCTGGGAATTTTATTGATCGGAAATTTTGCTCTAAGTTAGGGATTCCCCTCCTGCCCGTTGATGCACCCTTTCCTGTCCATGCCCTAGATAGCCGCCCGTTGGGATCTGGGTTGATTAGGGAGGTCACAGCGCCACTAAAGATGAAGACGCAGGGGGGTCATGAGGAGATTATTCAGTTGTACCTCATTGACTCTCCTGCGTATCCCGTGGTGCTGGGGCTTCCTTGGTTAATCACCCATGACCCCACCATTTCGTGGCAACAGAGGGCTCTCAAGGAATGGTCTGGCCAGTGTGTTGGGCGATGTTTAGGTGTTTCCGTTGGGGCGACCACGGTGGAGAGTCCGAACCAAGTGCCCGCAATGCACATTCCCCCTGAGTATGAGGATTTGGCACTCGTGATCAGCAAGACGAGGGCGACGCGATTGCCACCTCATAGACAGGGAGATTGTGCGATAAACCTCCAGACAGGTGTGGCACTTCCGCAGAGCCATGTGTATCCTCTGTCTCAAGAGGAGACGGCGGCTATGGAAACCTACATAGCTGAGTCCCTGAGACAAGGACACACACGGCCCTCCACTTCCCCTGCGTCCTCGAGTTTCGTTTTTGTGAAGAAGAAGGATGGAGGTTTGAGCCTGTGTATTGATTATCGTAGTCTCAATCAGATCACTGTGAAATACAGTTACCCTCTACCTCTGATTGCGAGTATGACTGAATCATTACGCGGAGCGCGTTTCTTCACAAAACTGGATCTCAGGAGCGCTTATAACTTGGTGCGCATTAGGGAGGGAGATGAATGGAAGACGGCATTTAGTACCACCTCAGGTCATTATGAGTATCTTGTCATGCCATACGGGTTAATGAATGCTCCTTCAGTCTTCCAATCATTTGTAGACAAGATCTTCCGGGACCTGCATGGGCAGGGAGTGGTAGTGTACATTGACGACATCCTAGTGTACTCCGCTACACGAACCGAGCATGTAGCCCTGGTGCGCCGAGTGTTGGGTAGGCTGTTGGAGCATGACTTGTATGTCAAGGCAGAGAAATGTCTGTTTTTCCAGGAGTCCATCTCCTTCTTGGGTCATCGGTTGTCCGCGTCAGGGGTGAAAATTGAGATTGACCGGGTGTCAGCCGTGCGTAACTGGCAAACCCCAACCACTGTTAAAGAGGTGCAGCAGTTTTTGGGTTTTGCCAATTACTACCGGAGGTTTATCTGGGGTTTTGGACAGGTGGCAGCTCCCATTACGTCCCTGCTGAAGGGGGGCCCGGTGCGTTTGCAGTGGTCGGCTGAAGCGGACAGGGCGTTTCGTAAACTTAAGGACCTTTTAACTTCGGCTCCGGTGCTGGCACACCCGGACCCCACTTTAACGTTCCAGGTAGAGGTGGACGCGTCAGAGGCCGGTATTGGGGCAGTACTGTCGCAACGCTCTGGCACGCATCCTAAGCTCCGTCCCTGTGCCTTTTATTCTAAAAAGCTCAGCCCGGCGGAGCGTAATTATGACGTAGGGGACAGGGAGCTGTTAGCCGTGGTTCAAGCTCTAAAGGTGTGGAGGCATTGGCTTGAGGGGGCTCAACACCCTTTTCTCATTCTGACTGACCATCGTAACCTGGAGTACATCCGGGCAGCGAGGAGATTGAACCCTCGTCAGGCTAGGTGGAACATGTTCCTGACCCGGTTCGTTTTTAAGATCACTTACATCCCAGGGTCCCAGAACGGTAAGGCAGACGCCCTGTCCCGGCGGTATGACACAGAGGAGAGGTCCATTGAGCCCACTCCCATACTGCCAGAGTCTTGTCTGGTGGCACCAGTGGTATGGGAGGTCGATGCGGAAATTGAGCGGGCGTTACGCACCGACCCTACTCCCCCAGAGTGTCCAGTGGGTCGGACGTACGTGCCGCTCGAGGTCCGTGATCGTCTCATCTATTGGGCTCATACGTCACCCTCCTCTGGACATCCAGGTATTGGCCGGACAGTGCACTGCCTTAGTGTGAAGTACTGGTGGCCAACATTGGCTAGGGACGTGAGGGTTTATGTCTCCTCCTGCTCGGTGTGCGCGCAGTGTAAGGCGCCTAGACACCTGCCCAGGGGGAAGTTCAACCCCTGCCCGTTCCACAACGGCCGTGGTCTCACCTCTCGGTGGACTTTGTCACAGACCTTCCCCCCTCTCAGGGGAATACCACTATTCTGGTCGTTGTGGATCGGTTCTCTAAGGCCTGTCGTCTCATTCCAATGCCGGGTCTCCCTACTGCCCTACAGACCGCTGAGGCCTTGTTCACCCACGTCTTCCGGCACTACGGGGTTCCCGAGGATATAGTGTCTGATCGGGGTCCCCAATTCACCTCTAGAGTCTGGAGGGTGTTCATGGAATGCTTGGGGGTCTCGGTTAGCCTTACCTCGGGTTACCACCCGGAGAGTGATGGGCAGGTGGAGAGAGTGAACCAGGATGTGGGTAGGTTTCTGAGATCCTATTGCCAGGGCCGGCCGGAGGAGTGGTCGGGGTATATCCCCTGGGCAGAGATGGCTCAGAACTCTCTCTGCCACTCCTCTACTAACCTGACCCCCTTTCAGTGCGTGTTAGGTTATCAGCCGGTTCTGGCACCATGGCATCAGAGCCAGATCGAGGCTCCGGCGGTGGATGAGTGGTTTCGGCGCTCGGAGGAGACGTGGAACGCTGCCCACGTACATCTGCAGCGGGCCATCCGCAGGCATAAGGCGAGCGCCGACCACCACCGCAGTGAGGGTCCAGTCTACGCCCCTGGAGATCGAGTCTGGCTCTCGACTCGAAACCTGACCCTTCGCCTGCCCTGCCGGAAGCTTGGCCGGCAGTTTGTGGGGCCATTTAAAGTCCTGAGGAGATTGAATGAGGTGTTTTACAGGTTGCAACTGCCTAATGACTATCACATTAACCCCTCATTCCATGTTTCTCTCCTCAGGCCGGTGGTAGCTGGTCCACTCCAGGAGAATGAGATAAGAGAGACCCCTCCGCCCTCACTGGACATCGAGGGGGCTCCGGCGTACTCAGTCCGGTCCATCGTGGATTCGAGACGTCGGATGGGGGGTCTACAATATCTCGTGGAGTGGGAGGGGTACGGTCCGGAGGAACGGTGCTGGGTGCCTAGGAGGGACATTCTAGATCCATCCCTCCTGACTGAGTTCCATCGTAGTCATCCTACGTAGTCATCCTGCTCCACGTCCTCCTGGCCGTCCCCGAGGCCGGGGTCGGCGCACGGCTGGAGACGCACGTCAAGGGGGGGGGGGGGGTACTGTCACAGATTCCGCCGAGGCTGCTCCTCCTCCTTGTTCGGGCAGGCTTCGGCGTTCGTCGTCCCCGGAGTACTAGCTGCTACTGTCTGATGTTATCTATGTTTGTTTGGTTTTGTCTGATTAGTGCACCTGTTCTATATCACGTATTGATTATGTCACCTATAAGTTTCCTTTGGTTTTGTTTGTAGTTGTGTGTTGTTGTCTGCCTGTCCGTTGGTGATGTGCATTTGCTCTCGTATTTTTAGAGTATTGACGCACTGTATGCGTAATCTCTTGTATTTTGTGTATATACGCACTGTATGCGTAATCGCTCGCCTCCGTTGTGTTAAGGCCCGTTATTTTGTATTGTCGTGTTCTTACAAGTAAAGTCTGTTGGACTAAGCTTCTGTGTCCTGCGCCTGACTCCAACACCACATCCACATCAGCCCTTGACACTGCCATTCCTGAGCAAGCTCTGCACTGGTGTGCCCCAATCCCGCAGCTGAATCAACTTTAGGAGACGGTCCTGGCGCTTACTGGACTTTCTTGGGCGCCTTGAAGCCTTCTTCACAACAATTTAACCTCTCTCCTTGAAGTTCTTGATGATCCGATAAATGGTTGAATTAGGTGCAATCTTACTAGCAGCAATATCCTTGCCTGTGAAGCCCTTTTTGTGCAAAGCAATGATGACGGTACGTGTTTTCTTGCAGGTAACCATGGTTAACAGAGGAAGAACAATGATTTCAAGCACCACCCTCCTTTTAAAGCTTCCAGTCTGTTATTCTAACTCAATCAGCATGACAGAGTGATCTCCAGCCTTGTCCTCGTCAACACTCTCACCTGTGTTAACGAGATAATTACTGACATGATGGCAGCTGGTCCTTTTGTGGCAGGGCTGAAATGCAGTGGAAAAGTTTTTTGGGGATTAAGTTAATTTTCATGGCAAAGAGGGACTTGCAATTAATTGCAATTCATCTGATCACTCTTCATGACATTCTGGAGTATATGCAAATTGCCATCATCAAAACTGAGGCAGCAGACTTTGTGAAAATTAGTATTTGTGTCATTCTCAAAACTTTTGACCACGACTGTACATTTTTTGCCCCAATATTTTGGACCCATTTCCTCTTGCTGATCTGAAAAAGCCTGGACGAGTGAACGCAATATGTTGGAGTAGGTCCATTGGAGTTGTCACCATATTGCTATTACCTATCCACATTCACTTTATCTAACAAACTTTTAGATTAGTTAAAGTGTGGAAAGAGGAAGTTAGAAAGAGAAGAGCTTTTTAAAATATTAAAACACAGCCAGGGAAAGCAAAAAACACAGTGATAGTTCACTCCAAAGTGAAAAGCGGTCAGGGGACAGGGGCTAGGGGTCAGGTGGCGGAGTCCTACCTGTCTTGCGGAGAGGAAAGTCGTCTTTGGGGTCGTACATGCCCAGGATGGCGTGGTTGTAAGGGGACATCCCTGTCTGGGGAGGGGAGCTCTGGTCCAGGGAGCTGTGCTGGGTCTTCCTACAGAGGGGAGACAAATACACATTTACAGTATTTCATTTGGGTCCTTCAAAAGGAGCAAAGATCGACCTGACTTCTGAGGCAGAGGACGTCTGGTAATTGGAAGTAAGAGAATTCCCTGACGTAGATAAATACATTTAACAATTGTACACCGTATGATGGCTAATCATCAACATGCAATAAGATGTTGAAAAATCTAAATTCAGCTGTTCAATTATTTATTGTCATCGTAAATTCGTAACATCTGCTCTTCGAGAAGCATCGAGGCACAATGGACCCATATTTGAAAAGTCACACACAAATACACATGCACGGATGAGCGTTACCACAAACACAGGAGTCTCAGTTCACTCCCCACCACACATTACCTGCTCTCAGGCAGACCTTTTTATTTATGGCCCGGCACTTTGCATGCCATCTCAGATTACCCACAATGCATGTGCCGAGCATGAAGTTGTGCGGCACCCTGTGTTTGTAAACAAACCTACTCTGACAGGGCAATGAGCGTAAACGGATCTGATGGAGCCATAAAACCTACTACTACTGCATGGACCTGCTGGTGTGTGAACGATATGCTGATGTTGCCCGTCTGTCTGTGCCAGTCTGTCTGACTGGGTAACAATGGTCCGTGTCAGTTGATGTGGCTTCAGTAGTGTGAGGGAGAAACAGGCATCAGGTATCTGTCTGTCTGTCTGTCTGTCTGTCTGTCTATCTCTGTTACTGCGTATCCATCTATCCTAAGCTACCATTAAAAAAGTGTGTGTACCTGTCTGTCTCTGTGTCCGTCTTCCTTAACTGCCCCTATGTTCCAGTGTTACAGTAAAACACGGAGAGGGCTTCATGTTTCTCAGTTAATAGCTAAGAGAAAACAGCATTGATGTTTCCTCTGGCTGGGGCCAATTGAGGTCAGCTGGCGTCTTCCCATCCCACTGAATTGAATCTGGCTGGCTTTCCCCTCCATATTACATAAACAGCGAGCCTGTCTAGGTTGCATGGCTGACATGTCTTTGGCTCATGTGGCAATTATAAAAATGTCTGCCGTTGTAGCTGTCAGAATATATACTTGTTTTGATTAATAAAATATATTGTGTTTGATGTCGTCTTAGAGACACATTTTATGTGGCTACTATCGATTTATGTGACTGCTGTTTTTTTGGGAGGTGGGTAACAAACAAGTAAAGAGCAAACAAAATAAAGTAACATTCCTGTAAAACCGTCAAGTGAAACTAAGATAATTCATATCTTAGCTAAATTAATAGAGAACGTGTCATTCATCAATAAAATGGGCGGGGCTTCATAGTTGTTAATGGGAAGAGCAGATGTCGGCACTGGATGGTGCTGTCCGTTGATTGGACTAGCTACAGCCTCCCTTACACATAACTTTGACAAGGAAGACACCAATGGGGAAATAAACTTCTCTCCACGCTGTGCTGTCAAGGACTTAACCATGACTACTGGTGTCAAAACTTGGGCCGTAGCTAACAGAGAACAATTTTTCACATAAACACACGCATCAACCTACAGAAAAACAGAAGTCTACCATAAACTACATCCGTCCTAGCTCGCTCATTAATGTCTTAATCGAAATTACGGATTGCCTCTTATCCGCTCGTCGTCCCCTTATGCCATAGTTTGTACATCTCAATTGTCAGTAGAAACCACATTTGTTTAAGCAAGTCAGCCATATCAGCTATGTTTTTTTAAAAAGCAGTAAATGAGGCTGAATGAACTGTTTCGCTGCCATACAAGGCTCCGCTGATAGCCAGGTGTAGCAGTGGTAAGGTGTTGGGACTGCTGTTGCGACTCTGCTGTTGGGACAGCTTTATGTAGGCCCTAAGTTTTTGGGCACCGTTTGTCATCGTTATAGTGCAATTAATGTATTGTTTAGTGTTGTGTTGTGGCTTTGCTGGCATGCATAAAACATTTTTTTGGGGAGTTTGCCCCACCAAGATTTACATGCTAAAATCGCCACTGTACATATCCGTTAAGATCTACAGAAACACATAGGGGGGTAGACAGAGGATAGGGGTGAGTTTTGGGTTGTAAGGCTCTGCAGCGTCCATGAAGAACAAAGATCTACGGCATGCCATCATTCGGCATCAGCATGGTGCCACCATAATCAAGTAAGGCTTAACCTATGGTTGGGTAAGGATGTGGGGTGTGGGTATGATACTCACCCGTACCAGTAGCGTGGGTCAGTGTTCATGCAGTGGTTGAGGCTGCGCTGAGCCAGGGCTTTCTTTTTGTTCAGGACAAACTCCTGCAGCCGCATCTTGACCTCCGTGCTGGCCACCGCACCTGGGAGAGATGATCGAGAAGCCAAGGGTTAGGGACTACAAAATTACAGGACATGGACTACAAATACCACCTTCATAACAGCCTGGAGGAACACGTCATTCTGTTTCCCTCTACAGATATGGTTCCTCCTTAGCCTTGTAGAACCAGCCTGATCTTGCAAGCTCACATAAATGATTCGCTAAACTAAATCATTTATCTAAACTCGCGAGATCAGTGTGGTAGTACGAGGCTAGTTCCTCCTTGCTTTGGATTAAACTTGAAGATAGATCTTCACAACATCTCTATGATACCACATTATGTATGGCATCATATGCAACCACCAATATTTTTACATTTACATTTACGTCATTTAGCAGACGCTCTTATCCAGAGCGACTTACAAATTGGTGCATTCACCTTATAGCCAGTGGGATAACCATTTTACAATATGTATTTTTTTTGGGGGGGTGGGGTACGGGGGGGTAGAAGGATTACTTTATCCTATCCCAGGTATTCCTTAAAGAGGTGGGGTTTCAAGAGTCTCCGGAAGGTGGTGAGTGACTCCGCTGTCCTGGCGTCGTGAGGGAGCTTGTTCCACCATTGGGGTGCCAGAGCAGCGAACAGTGTTGACTGTGCTGAGCGGGAACTGTGCTTCCACAGAGGTAGGGGGGCCAGCAGGCCAGAGGTGGATGAACGCAATGCCCTCGTTTGGGTGTAGGGACTGATCAGAGCCTGAAGGTACGGAGGTGCCGTTCCCCTCACAGCTCCGTAGGCAAGCACCATGGTCTTGTAGCAGATGCGAGTTTCAACTGGAAGCCAGTGGAGTGTGCGGAGGAGCGGGGTGACGTGAGAGAACTTGGGAAGGTTGAACACCAGACGGACTGCGGCATTCTGGATGAGTTGTAGGGGTTTAATTGCACAGGCAGTGAGCCCAGCCAACAGCGAGTTGCAGTAATCCAGACGGGAGATGACAAGTGCCTGGATTAGGACCTGTGCCGCTTCCTGTGTAAGGCAGGGTCGTACTCTCCGAATGTTGTAGAGCATGAATCATCTTGACATGACCCCATGATATTTAGTTGAAGTATTTACAATGAATAGGGAACTGAATCTAATGGGGGAACAGAATTGAGACGACAACAGGATCATTCTGAGTGAGATACTAGAATGGATGTGATCTTCCCAGCTGATCTTTGCAGCTTGAAGGAGTGACTGAACAGAATTGAAGTTTGTGGGACATGAAGTTACACAGAGTTTCCCTAGAAGGGAAAACGTACGCTTTGGTGGGAATTCCACCGAGACTGTGGCAGTTAAATTGGAAAAAATGTTTTGTGTGTTTGTGTGGTTTTCTTTCTTCAAACAAGGCATCACAAGGTGCGTTCTTTCACAGCTCTCTCTTCAATTACCACCTCACCATCACACAGTCAACACATCCCTGAGGGGAGCCTCCACACAGGGAGAGAGAGATGGGGAGAGAGAAATGGAAAGAAAGGTAAGAGAGTGAGAGAAAAAGAGCGAGAGTAAAAAGAGAGAGCAAGGGAAGTGTGTGCATACATCTGTAAAAGTGTGTGTCAAAGAGAAACACAATTAGTGAGAGAAAAAGACGGAGCTGGCAACAAGTGACTAACATGTCAAGCGGTGAAGCAGTGCAGGGGGGGTGGCACATAGGAGAATATGATGACTGCTAATATAGACGCCTTTTAAATCACATTGCGAGACCTAAGTGCTGACATCCCAATTTGTACGCCTTGACACTGAGGCAAATAGGCTTTTATGAGACTGCCTTGGAGGCAATTTACTGCAGCACTTAACAAAGCACCCGCTGTTTACCATCCAGTTTTACTCTAGATGCTAGCCTAGCTTAGTGCCGTACATATACAGATTACGGGAAAACACAGTTTGAGATGTAGCATTTCACGGACACCATCTTGGCACCAAACCACATACAAATTGCAATGTTGTTGTCAATAAACACTTGGTGCCAATATGGCTGAGTTTGCCCCAAAATGGCTGCTTTGGTTCTAATAGTGAAGCAGTGAGGTGTCGGTTCAGGCTGCCCTGACTGCTTGTGCTTGAAAAGTGCTGTTTTGACATTTATGTCTGAAACTGTTATGGGGGAGGTGAGGGCGGTTCCAACGCTGGCACAATGTCCGAGCTCGTGTTAGGAGACATTTTGGGGAGCTTTAATGACATCTTTGGAGGGTGTGCTGTCCTGGGAGAAAGCCAGGACAGGAGTGTTGGGGAAGGGTTTGACAAGAGGTTGGGTAAAATGTACGTTTGGGTAAACGTTAGCTGGGCAGCTTTAGGAGGGTCTACTGCTATTTACCCAACTCCTGCTCTCATCACTCATACTGCACCATCACTGATGCTAATGCTAACACTGTCCCTCTATTACTATGATGACGTAGCATCGGCCATGATACTGTAGTGTTAGCCACAACATGATAATGCTCTTAAGCCACAATGTGATAATGTAGCATTGGCCACGGTATAAAATAATGTCAAGATAACCACAGCATATGATTTAGCCACAATGTGATAATGTAATGTTAGCTAGGGGTGTGAACGTTTAAACAAATTGGGGTGTTAACTGTAAGAAAAAATCCGTAACTGAAAACCTGTTGTTTTTATTCCACAAAATTGAAATCACAGTGCAGTTATCACAAACATACTACTAACATCATAAAGGGGGAAAAAGATTAACAAATACCTAATGCAACAATGATGTAACGTTAGTAGGAGATATGCATCTTTCAAATTATTTGCCACGGATATACAGTGCCGGGAAAAAGTATTTGCCCCCTTTATGATTTTCTCTATTTGTGCATATTTTGGACACTGAATGTTATCATCAGATCTTCAACCAAAACCTAATATTAGATCAAGGGAACCTGATTGAACAAATAACAACATACTGATACCTTTTCCATTTATTTAATAAACAAAGTTTACCCAATGCCCCTGTGTGAAAAAGTAATTGCACCCTTACACTCACACTTGTTGTGCCACCTTTAGCTGCAATAACTGCAACCAAACACTTCCTGTAGTTGTTGATCAGTCTCCCACATCACTGTGGAAGAATTTTGGCCCAACTCTTCCATGCAGAACTGCTTTAACTGAGCGACATTTGTGGGTTTCCACAACCTCTGAATCGGGTTTAGGTCTGGACTTTGACTAGGCCATTCCAGAACTCTAAATGTGTTGCTTTTCAGTCATTCTGATATATAATATATAATATGCCGTTTAGCATATCCAAAGCGACTTACAGTCATGTGTACATACATTTTTACGTATGGGTGGTCCCGGGGATCGAACCCACTACCCTGGCGATACAAGCGCCATGCTCTACCAGTTGAGCTACAGAGGACCACAGAGGATATAGACTTGCTTGTGTGTTATGCCGCATTACCCAGCTGCGCTTCAGCATCAGCTCAAGGCCAGATGGCCTGACATTCTCCTGTAGAATTCTCTGATACAGAGAAGTATTCATGGTTCCTTCAATTATGGCAGGTCCTGTTATGTCTGGCGAAAACCAAACACTGCATTCCACAGTAAGAACCTCATACCAATGGTCAAGCATGGTGGCGGTAGTGTGATGGTTTGGGGATGCTTTGCTGCCTCAGGACCTGGACAACTTGAAGGAACCATGAATTATCTGTATCAGATAATTCTAAAGGAGAATGTCAGGCCATCCTTCCGTGAGCTGAAGCTGAAGCGCAGCTGGGTCATGCGGCAAGACAATGATACAAAACACACAATCAAGTCTACATCAGAATGGCTCAAAAGCAAGTCAAAGTCCAGCCCTAAACCATTTAAGACGTTGTGGCAGGAACCCACAAATGTACCTGAGTTAAAGCAGTTCTGAATGGAGTGGGCCAAAATCCCTCCCTAGTGATGTGACAGACTGATCAGCAACTACAGGAAGCGTTTGGTAGAAGTCACTGTAGCTGAATGTGGCACAGTCAGTTATTGAATGTAAGGGTGCAATTACTTTTTCACACAGGGACATTGGGTGTTGCATAACTTCTTTAATTAAATAAATATCAACATTTTGTGTTATTTGTTAACTCAGGTTCCCTTTATCTAATATTAGGTGTTGGTTGAAGATCTGATAACATTCAGTGTCAGATATATGCAATAATAGAGAAAGCGCTGCACACCCCAGTCATTAAGTTGGAAAAATGGCAAAGAAATGCAAGTGACAGCAGCGAACAGACTATCGAGTCTGCTGCTGCACTGTGCTTTTAGATGACCCAACGTTACAACATAGCGATTGGTGCTTTGGAAACATGCTGAAGTACGGCCTGACTGCTGGGAACATGTCTCCAACTTCATCAGCAAGCTGTCAAACTATCGTAAATAAGTGACAAGCTACACGCTGTTTATCAGTGCAGTGCCCAACATCCTTAGCTAGCTAGCTAGAATTCAATCCCTGTTGTCACGCCCTGACTCAGGGGACGCTTATATATTGAGTCAGGGTGTGTATATTCCTTGTTGTGTTTGTCATTGTTTGTCGATCTAGTATGCATGGTTCTATGTTGGCCGGTGTGGTTCCCAATCAGAGGCAGCTGTCGTTCGTTGTCTCTGATTGGGGCCAATACTTAGGCAGCCTATTGGCACTAGTGGGTTGTGGGATCTTGTTCCGGTTAAGGTATGTTGTGTCGTCTACCTTGGACTTCACATTTCGTTTCGTTGGATTTTTTGTCGTTGTGTTTAATAGAAAATAAACATGTACGCATATCACGCTGCGCCTTGGTCTGTCCCGTCATTCAACGAACGTGACACCTGTGTTTGTCAGTGAAGCTAGCTAGCAGCAGGCAGGCTACTACAAGCTAAATCAGATTATGAAATCATTTTCTACATTGTAGAATAATAGTGAAGACATCAAAACTATGAAATGACACATATGTAATCATGTAGTAACCAAAAAAGCGTTAAACAAATCAAAATATATTTTATAATTGAGATTCTTCAAAGTAGCCACCCTTTGCCTCAATGACAGCTTTGCAAAGTCTTGGCATTCTCTCAACCAGCTTCACCTGGAATGCTTTTCCAACAGTCTTGAAGGAGTTCCCACATCTGCTGAGCACTTGTTGGCTGCTTTTCCTTCACTTTGCCGTCATACTCATCCCAAACCATCTCAATTGGGTTGAGGTCGGGGGATTGTGGAGGCCAGGTCATCTGATGCAGCACTCCATCACTCTCCTTGGTCAAATAGCCCTTACACAGCCTGGAGGTGTGTTGGGTCATTGTCCTGTTGAAAAACAAATGATAGTCCCACTAATCCCAAACCAGATGGGATGGCATATCACTGCAGAATGCTGTGGTAGCCATGCTGGTTAAGTGTGCCTTGAATTCTAAATAAATCACAGACAGTGTCACCAGCAAAGCACCCCCACACCATCACACCTCCTCCTCCATGCTTTACGGTGGGAAATACACATGCGGAGATCATCCGTTCACCCACACCACGTCTCACAAAGAAATGGCGGTTGGAACAAAAAATCTCTAATTTGGACTCCAGACCAAAGGACACATTTCCACCGGTCTAATGTCCATTGCTCGTGTTTCTTGGCCCAAGCAGGTCTCTTCTTCTTTTTGGTGTCCTTTAGTAGTGGTTTCTTTGCAGCAATTCGACCATGAAGGCCTGATTCACACAGTCCCATCTGAACAATTGATGTTGAGATGTGTCTGTGACTTGAACTCTGTGAAGCATTTATTTGGCCTGCAATTTCTGAGGCTGGTAACTCGAATGAACTTATCCTCTGCAGCAGAGGTAACTCTGGGTGTTCCATTCCTTTGGCAGTACTCATGAGAGCCAGTTTAATCATAGTGCTTGATGGTTTTTGCGACTGCACTTGAAGAAACTTTCAAAGTTCTTGAAATGTTCCGTATTGACTGACCTTCATGTCTTAAAGTAATGATGGACTGTCGTTTCTCTTTGCTTATTTGAGCTGTTCTTGCCATAATATGAACTTGGTCTTTTACCAAATAGGGCTATCTTCTGTAAATCCCCCCTACCTTGTCACAACACAACTGATTGGCCCAAACGCATTAAGAAGGAAAGAAATTCCACAAATCAACTTTTAAGAAGGCACACCTGTTAATTGAAATGCATTCCAGGTGACTACCTCATGAAGCTTGTTGAGAGAATGCCAAGAGTGCGCAAAGCTGTCATCAAGGCAAATGATGGCTATTTGAAGAATCTCAAATATAAAATATATTTTGATTTGTTTAACACTTTTTGGTTACTAGATGATTCCATATGTGTTATTTCATAGTTTTGGTGTCTTCACTATTATTCTACAATGTAAAAAATAGTAGAAAATTAAGAAAAACTCTTGAATGAGTAGGTGTGTCCAAACTTTTGACTGGTAGTGTACTTGCACATATTTTGTGCAGGAGTAGAGAGATGTCGTTTTGTTTTACAGCTTTCTCACTGTCTATCAGAGTATGCGTCTGTGTCTGCCCCAGTGCCTGTGTTTCATGCACAAGACAGGTCGCGGGAGACAATGCTCGTGAATGGATTTTGAATTTTGTAATATCAGTTGGGACATGGATTGCGCATCGTCTCAATGCTTATTTTGGCCAAAACACTTGCAGACTTGAATGATCACTATCGAACACAATAGCAAGTGGTCACTTGATAAAAGGCTTAGGGGCCAAGTGTTCGGTTTGAGATTCAGCCCATGACTATGGTAGATAGAACTTCATATCTCCCTAGCGGCCATGCGCAATAGGATCACTATACGCAATAGGAACATATTATGCATTGTGCACGTGGAATTTTATAAAATGTTCTTATAGTTTAATCGTTAAGAAATGTTTTCCATTTGTCACATCTGTAGTGTTAGCCACAAAGTGATAATGCAGAATTGGCCTCACTATATGATAATGTAGAGTTATCCACAACATAGTAATGTAGCATTGGCCCCGGTATATGACAATGTAACGTTAGCCCCACTATATAATAATGTAATTCTGAGCAACTCACTCTCCTGGCCACGCTCCTTGTTCTTGAGCAGCAGGAGTTTCTTCTCCCTCTGCTGCTTCTCCATCTCCTGCTCTTGGCGGTGTCTCTCCATCTTCTTCTGGTGCTCCAGCAGCTCCTGCTGATGCTTCAGGGCCAGGAGGTCCTGCTGGTGCTGCAACACAACGTTACTACAACTTTAATACAACGTTACTACAACGTTGGTACAACTGCCTGCTGATGCTTTAGAGCCAGGAGGTGCTTCTGCTGCTGCAACACAACGTTACCACAACATTACTACAACTTTACTACAACATTGGTACTACTGCCTGCTGATGGAGTAGAGGGAGAGGGATGGAGGGACATGGGAGGAGGAGGGAGAGGGAGACTGAAAGGGATGGAGGGAGATGGGGAGAGGGAGAGGGAGAGGAATGGAAAGGAGAGAGGGAGGGAGACATGGTCACAGATTGTCTGATATCATCTTATCTAGATAAACAAAAAACACACGCTTCAACACACACTCTAACACACTTCCTTTCAATGGCAAATATGCATGTATCAGACAATCTAAAACCAATGGCTGACGTCAATATCACTAGATTTCAACAGCAAGTATCCCCTACAGATTTCATAGCTTGGAAACAGATTACTTGAATTTCTTCTCAAGAGGAAGTCAGCACAAAATGCCTAAATGACTGAATGATAAAAGCCTCACTATGGACAGTTGTTGCATAATTTCAACCAGTACAGGTGGGTGTTGACTGGAACGGAGCAGAATAGAATACAGTCAGCAAGCTGTCAAGGCATAATGTGATGTGTCAACTGGAGCTTTCAGACAGAGCTATTTTTAGCCTGGGCTGCCTCTCTCCCATTGGCTGAAGCTGCGGCCGTGGCAACACGGGAGGCCTGTTTACAGAGCGAACTGTTTCTCTCGTTGTCACACACACGTATGAGCCAGTACACATGCATACACAGTTTCTCAAGGACTGGGTTCCCATGGAGATCAGAAAAGCAACCCAACTCAACCGGTGGATCCAGTTACATCCAACACACACACACACACACACACACACGTGTACAGGCATGTCCTCTCCTACACCCATTCTCTCTGTCATTAAAACAGCACATTGGCATTCTGCTGAGCCAGAATGCCCTCGAGCAAAGGCGATGGAGGGATGGAGAGATGGAGAAGAGCAGGGGGTGGGAGAGGAGACAAAAACACACACACCTTAACATGCTCCTGTAGCTGGACCTCATGCTGGCGTGAGAGCTGCTCGTGTTGCCGCTGGAACTCGGCGATGAGCAGCTGTCTCTGGATCTGCTGTTTGTGTTTGAGGGCCAGCAGCTCCTGCTGCAGCTGCTGCTCCCGCTGACCTGGGACCTGTCCTTGGTGGCCCTGGTCGCCTGGTCGCGGTGCCAGGCCAAAGGGCTGGTCCAGCCGCAGGTCCATGGGGATGGCGGCCGGGGGCACCTGCATGGGCAGTGCCGCGCTCACGTCGACTGGGGAGAGGCAGAGAGAGAAGGGGTTACTGACTGATTTTTCATGGTTGTTGTTCCTTTGTGACGTAGGGTTCAATCAAAAGATAAAGGATAGTCTTTCCCAAGGCTCTTTCTCACACACACTGACTCAAACACACTAATGCACACAAGTAGTTGCAGGTCCTATAGGAGCCGATTCAATGACATTGAATGACCCATAGAATAGAATAGCCACCCGACATCATTGAATAGCTCTCAGCTTTGGCGAAAGGCTAAATTAGTCTTCATTCTAGGACTACATGGCACGGATGCTAGTTTAACGATGGCAGTTTTGACACACTAGGGTCAACGTAGACGCATAGTGTGGTGGCAATGTACCACGATAGGAGTTTTGTGATGTTGGGAGTGACAAAAGGCTGCAAACAAATGGACAAAAGCACTGAGAACAACTACTATGTGTGTACGTGCAAGCATTGCCACAATACGTGTGGACTGGGAATAGATGAATGGGTGAAGTATGCTCACGATGAGCGAGAGGAGGGGTGTGTGTGTGTGTGTGTGTATGTGTGTGTGCGTGTATTTGCGTGTCTATGTGTGTGTTTGTGTGTGTGTGCATGCATGCATGCGAGTCTGTGTGTGCATGTGTATCCCAAAAAAGGATCCCCATTCATTTCCACTGTGTCAGCTCACAGCAGGGCACTAATCTCAAAGAGCAGAATGCCACGAGTTCAAGGGAAAAGAACAGCACTACAATGATCCTGGCCAGAAGAGAGACTATGGATGGGGATTAGGGCCAAACAAAAGAGGTCCCCCTCAAAAGGTCACAGAGTTTATCAATGCAGAGAAAATAATAGACTGCCAATATTCTTTCCCCCTCCCCCTATATATAATCTAAACTATACTGTCCGCAAGTAACTGTTCTTCTTTAGGAAGTAACGATAGAAGTAGCCGATTCTAATGAGCTACATGGACACTGAAAAGACAATCCAAAAGAGGACATATGTGACTCGTTTCAGGAAACTAGGCGTATGTCGCGCGTCACTACTTCACAGGAGAGGCATTTGAATGTAAACATTTATTTTTTATCAAAATGAGTTTTTTGGCAGAAATGCCTTCTGGAACATGTGAACTTTCATGTGCCTTAATAACAAACTTGTATGCCATCTCTAAATACAAAATTGTTATATTACAAGCCTAGTTGGTTTAGCCACAGAAAAAGACAGGAACCTTCCCGCTGCCATGATTGGCTGAGATAATGGATGGGCTGGACATGCCGAGAGATGAGTTCGGATTGGTCTGCCATGTAGCATGCTTCTGTCAATAACATGAGCTGCTCAGTATATGTAGGTAATCTGTTCCTTTTTTGAAAGATGCTCTCCACTTTCTGGAAGACCGATTTTTGAAATCAGTGGAATATCCGGTGGAAGCAGAGAATGATAGCTAAGGAGAGTAAATTCTGGTGTTTTATTGCAAATATGCGGACGGAGTCGAAAAGAGAACACACAGAACGCTGTTGTATAAAACACCTGTCTCAAGATTACATCTTCAAACTAAGGGTAACCATGGCTTCCGTGACAGAGAGGGAGAAGCGATCATCCATGTATTCGGGTAAGAGAGTCTAGCTAGCTACATTTTCAGATATTATACGTTTCTAATTTTGTCAGAAAGTTGTTTTCATTGCAAGTTAAAGCGTACTGTTAGCTAGCTAGCTAACGTTAGCTGGCTGGCTCGCTAGCTAACGTTACGTGTAGTAATATTCATATCTCAGAGCCATTTGCATTGCTAGTTATAGCCTAATGTTAGCTAGTTAGCTAACATTGAACCTAGTTGGTTAGTTTTAGCTACCAGCAGATTCATGCAGGGTAGTAATGTTATGAGTTGGGATTATGGTTCATTGCTTAGCTAGCTAGATACATATCTAAACAAAAGACTACACTATGCAAGTAACCATTTCACTGTACCGTTTATACCAGGGGTGTCAAACTCATTTTAGCTCAGGGGCCACATGGAGGAAAATCTATTCCCAAGTGGGCCGGACCGGAAAAATCATGGTATATATAACTTAAAAACAACAACTTTAGATTGTTTTCTTTGTTTTAATACGATCAACATACAACATAAAGCTGGAGCCTGAGGACAGTGTGTCCAAAATAGTACAAGCACAACATCACTATTAATCATAAAACACGTCAAGTTTATTTGAAAATTCTAAAGAAAAAGAACACACAAACACACAATGCCTCAGTGATTAACAGAACTGTTTCACAGATGACAGAACTATATCAGGGTGTCATTTCTCAGGCAGAAATGTAGATAAAAATAATGAAATCCTGTTCCCCAAACAAGTGCAAGAACCACAGAGTCAAGAATAGGTTAAATATACAAATAAAATAAAATCAATTAAAAACAATAGCACATCAACATAAAAACATATAAACATAAAGCTGGAGCCTGAGGACAGTGTCCAAAAGCACAACATCACTATTAATCATAAAACACATCAAGTTATTTGAAAGTTCTGAGGACAAAGAACACACAAACACACAATGCCGCAGTGATTAACAGAACTGTTTCACAGATCACAGAACTATATCAGGGTGTCATTTCTCAGGCAGAAATGTAGATAAAAATAATGAAATCCTGTTCCCCAAACAAGTGCAAGAACCACAGAGTCAAGAATAGGTTAAATATACAAATAAAATAAAATCAATGAAAAACAATAGCACATCAACATAAAAACATATCAACACAAATCTGAAAGCGTTGCTCAAACTCCCGTAACAGTCCCGTTATTTTATCTTTGAACCACTTCATGTCTGCCACATGTTGGGTCGCGCACACATTTTTCAGACAGGGGAAGTGAGCTGCATCACCACCGGCAAGTTGCGTCTCCCACAATGACAGCTTCAACTTGAAAGAACGTATGCTGTCATAATACTGCGTGACAACTTTGTTGCGCCCTTGCAGCTGTTTGTTCAAGTTATTCAGGTGCTCTGTAACATCCACCATAAATGCAAAGTCCTGCATCCATTCTGCGGAATGAAATTCTAACACTGGTTTGCCCTTTTCTTCCATGAACTGTTCAATTTCTTCTCGTAAATCAAAGAAACGCCTCAGCACAGCACCTCGGCTTAACCATCTTACCTCAGTGTGGTATGGCAGGCCATAGATGTGGTCTTTCTCTCTGAGAAGGCTGTCAAACTGACGGTGATTCAGGCTTCTGGATCGGATGAAATTAACAGTTTGGATGACCACCTTCATGACGTTATCCATCTTTAATGACTTGCAACACAAAGCCTCCTGGTGCAAAATACAGTGAAAAGTCAAAAAATCACGTCCTCCATTTGCAGATTGCACTTTCTCTCTGAACTTTGTCACAACGCCTGCTTTTTTCCCGATCATTGAGGGCGCACCATCTGTAGCCAGGCTGACAGCGCGGGACCAGTCCACTCCGACCCTGTCCAGCGCGCCGACGAGTGCGGTAAAAATATCAGCTGCTGTCGTTGTATCTGTCATCGGCACCAACTCCACGAACTCCTCGGTGACGGTGAATGTGTCATCTATAATAATAATTATAATATGCCATTTAGCAGACGCTTTTATCCAAAGCGACTTACAGTCATGCGTGCATACATTTTTTTGTGTATGGGTGGTCCCGGGGATCGAACCCACTACCTTGGCGTTACAAGCGCCGTGCTCTACCAGCTGAGCTACAGAGGTCATCAACTCCGCGGATGAAAATGGCCAGTTGTGCAACATCTGTAATGTCCGTGCTTTCATCAATTGCAACCGAAAACGCAATAAATGACTTTACTTTTTGCTTCAACTGGCTGTCCAAATCCACTGAAAGATCGGAAATCCTGTCTGCAACTGTGTTTCTTGTCAGGCTGATATTTGCAAAAGCCTGCCGCTTTTCAGGGCACACAATCTCCGCTGCCTTCATCATGCATGTTTTTACAAATTCCCCCTCACTAAATGGTTTTGAAGCCACTGCGATTTCATTAGCAATGAGGTAGCTAGCTTTCACTGCAGCGTCACTGATGTCTCGGCTGTGAGTAAACACAGACTGCCGTTTCTTCAAACCCGCCAACAGTTCATTCACCTTCTCTCATCTCCGCTGTCCTTGAAAGTTGTCATATTTGTCGGCATGAAGACTCACATAGTGGCGACGAAGGTTATATTCTTTCAGCATAAATAGGATGACCATTTTTCTTGGAACACTCTGCACTCTGCGTCCACTTTTCTTTTTTTTGACAGAGACATATTGGGGCAATGAGGGTGCCAAAGCACATAATGTTAAAAGTAGAAGCCGTAATAAATATCGCGGGCAAAACAAAGTAGCTCATTGGCTGCACGTGCTTGACCTACTTGCTCTGCCCCGGTATAAACAGTTTGCTTGCTTAACACAATTGCTATTGCGCCATCCAGTGGACGCAATTGGAACAGCAGTTTATTTTATAGAAAAATTGTAGCGCATTTTTATACTTTACAAAATTATTATTAACTATTTTATTTTTTTATCATCTCGCAGGCCGGATTAAACCCGTTTGACACCCCTGGTTTATACCTTCTGTATCCTGAGCATGTTACAAATACACCTTTTTTTTAGGGGGTAGATCAGCTTTAATATTGCAGATATTTTTTTTTTTTTCTTTATTTTTTTTTAGTAGACGCTCTTATCCAGAGCGACTTACAAGAACAATTAGGATTAAGTGCCTTGCTCAAGGGCACGTCGGCAGATTTTTCCCCTAGTCGGCTTTGGGGATTAGAACCAGCGACCTTTCGGTTACTGGCACAACGCTCTTAACCACTAAGCTACCTGCATCATTTCCAATCCCCCATATGTTTTTTTCTCTCACAAATAGTGGGGAGAACAAGTATTTGATACACTGCCGATTTTGCAGGTTTTTCCTACTTACAAAGCATGTAGAGGTCTGTAATTTTTATCATAGGTACACTTCAACTGTGAGAGACGGAATCTAAAACAAAAATACAGAAAATCACATTGTATGATTTTTAAG